AATTAAATTTTCAAGTACATGGTTTTTCTGATGCATCGAAGAAAGCTTACGGCGCGTGTTTATATTTACGTTTTACAAATAATACAGATAAAATCGGTTCACATCTCTTTTGTGCTAAATCAAAGGTCGCGCCTCTAAAAATCAACCTCGAATGGAATGTGCACTTCGTTACTACTTGCCAAATTAGCAATACGCATTATACCTAAATAATGTTTAGATATTGTTAGGGGCTAATTTAATACTTGAGGATTTCGATCAAACCGAGAATCGGAAATTACTTGTCGTCTGCTCAAATATTGTCCCTAATTCCTTAATTGAGTTTTAATTACCCTAAGGAGACACAGACAATCGTGTACCTTAGTTTCAGGGGATAGATTATTAAGTAAAGTTAGACTATTGTTTTGTCAATAACAAAGTTAAGTTATATTTTAGATGTTCAGTAAATATAAGTTATATGTAATGTACAATACGTCTGAAATATGTTAAAATAATAATGTTTAATACTTAAAAAATTCGAGACACAATGTGGATGTGTCATAATTGGCACAAGTATAGGTGATATCAGACAGTGATAAAAATCACTATCATAAGAAACTCTTCGATACAAATCTGTAGTGTTTAATTTTAAAAAATGATTAAATGATTTTAAGTGATGGATTATACCAAAAGCAAAATGAATTCCTATTTCCTTCATTATTCCTGATTAGTAGTCCTTTGATTTAAAAATATAATAAGAATAAATTATAAAAAATAATTAACAACTATGCCTTGAGTATAACACATTTTTATAATTTAATATTATATAATAGTAAATATACTATATTTATAATTTTTTATTACTTTAAATAAAAATACTTTAATACAAAAGAGTATAAAGTTTAATTAAGTTAAAATTATAAAAGTCAATAGATATTTATTCAGATTTCTGAAAAAAAAAATATAGGGAGTTCAAATAATTTTAGTAAATGATAAATGATTATTACTTATTGCACTTCCGGTTAAACTGAATGTTCAAAAATGTTTATTGAGTTTAAAATTAATTAACTATTTAGTACCAACACATAAAGTTAATTTCATAAACTATATAGAAATTAACCTTTTAGTGTTACAGTTTCAAATTTTTGATCAAGTACATGGCTATGCTTTGTAAAATAGAATAGAAATAAGGAGTATTTTATTTTTATTATTATTTAATTTATAAAATAATTATGTTTTGGATATTGGGTATTTTAGACAAACTAAGTATATAGATTTGTTTTTTGTATAAGGGAAACTGGTGCCAATAGTTTTATTTATATCTTAAAATTACTTAGGTCACATGTAGTCTGTCCCTCATAGATTTAAATGTGCTCTTTATTGGTCGATTTGTATAAAAATCTTGTTGATTTAATAGTATAAAGGTTACAAATAATTACGAAAATGAGTCTAGTGAAAATTATGTTTAATGTAAAACCGTCTTAATTGTTAAACGATGAAAAACCTTAAACTTAATACTTTTTATTCATTTAAAATTTTAAATATTAAAATATAATTCTCATTCAAGAAGATGCAGTCCTTTTTAACTTGAAATGTTGGGTCAATATAAATTATTGAGTAGCACAGAAGTAATTTGTATCTCGTGTATGAATAAAAATGAATAAATAAAACTAATTAAAATAAGCTAGAACCGACTCCAAAGAGTTGGGATAAAGGAGATTTTAATGACGACAATGATGTATGATTAAAAATTGTCAACATTTTAAGCGCATGGAAATTCTTGAGATGTTTGTAATACCGTTTATTTTCAAAACAATATAATTAACTAACCATAGTACTTTATTAAAATAAATAATTTACCACGTATATTCTGTTAACAATTACAATTAATGTAGTTCCTAATAAACGGGTTGCAACATCTTACTAAAATGTATGATTATCTTTAAAAAAAAACCCAACACAGTGGGGTCGCGTCATAGTGAAGACGTTGCATAGTTGGGTCCAGTATAGATTTAATCTGACAGTAATTAAAATCACTATCATAAGAAACGCTTCGATGCAAATCTGTAGATAGTGTTTAAAAGAAATCGGTCCAATGAGAGCTGAGAAAAAGTGCAACATACAAAAAAAAAAAAACATATCATGGTAAAATTAATACCTTCTCAGCTTCGTATCGAAACTAAAATTGGTTGTTATGACTAAATAAATATTTTTATAATTTGAAAAGTTGTTGAAATTAAAAACTATCAAACCTAACAACTGATGGGGAAAGTGCTAAAATAAAAAAATGTATATATATTTATCAAAATTATTATGACAATTTCAGAGTTAAATATTTTTAATTTTACTGATTTCGATGATATTTTATTTAATTCTAAGATATTAACCGTAACACGGCCGCCGGGCATTGACGGCCGGTTATAGAAAGTGTACCGGAAATCATTTGAAAAAAAGAGGCACGGTACGGGGTTAGAACCTGCGACCCAAGGCGTCGTATAGACAAACCTTACCACAGGCCACCGTGCACTTATGATTCAGATCCCGATACACTTTCATATAGGTTGATAACGTGATGTGCGGCTGAGGGAAACACGGTACCGTGTCAACCGCCAATTGAAAAAAAAATGATCGGTTCATTGATTTAATACCATGTAATTAAATTAAAATCTGAATTAAAGATAAATAGAATTATTACAATATTTAACTTTATTATTTGTCAATTAAAATTTTATTTTTAATAACCAAAGGTTTTCCTTTATTCATACTTCGTTTATGAACTCAGTATTTAAATCTTACTGACGTTCAGAATATATTTTGAAATCAATATAACTCACTTTTTATGTATTTTCAATATGAGTCTTGTAAAAATGTCATAAATACGAGTGAAATTATTAAAAAGTCAGAGGGTTATAAATATTTTCTGAATTTTATATAAGAAACTTAAGTTGTATTCATATGCAAAAAGTGTCACTAAATCTTCTATTATAACTTTATTAAAGGATTGTTTTAATTATTACATATTATTTCATATTGTCATTACACAATTTTACATAATGTTTTATTAGTGCTTAATTAAATATTTTTCTTAGAATAGTGTAAAAACTCACATAAACATTTTACATTTTATTTTATAACTAATTGTTATATTATATTATTACATATAATATTAATATATAATAAGATGTTATCATTTGTTCATGTATGTCACATATTATGATTATACAAGATCACCAAAACAGGGTTCTCTTATTTAAAATACAAAATAACCCTTTAACTATACGATAAAATCTCCCTCTTGTAGAAATTATTAAGTAACGCCTACACGCTGGGACCCCATTTTAATTAACCAATTAGAATACAAAGCATCAGCTTCTAGGATCACGGTAGAGATCGCTGGGCTACCCCCTTCACACTATAAAAAGCCATTTTTCCCCATCTAAACCAGTTCTTTTGACGATTTTAAAATACACAAAATCTACGACACTCTACTCAAGATTTCACTCTCCGGGACTTAGTCGATTTTTTAATTAATTTGGACTTAGAATATTTTTCTTTAAAACTAAATGACACTTAGAAATTTTAAAGTGAATTTTGTTTTGGTGAATCTTTTAATTTAATTTAATTTGTTCAATCATTAATAATATTTTATTTTTCTTGTTGTGAAAATAAACATCAAATAATATTTTAAATATATTAAAATAAGATTTTATTATATAATATTTTAAACATTATATTTTTTTTAAAATTATTTTATTTTAACAATAAATCCAACCTAAATTTAGATATTCATTTAATAATAAAAATTTATTGTGAGCTTTTCTTATTGGGTAGCTAGTCTCGTTGCTAATGTCTTTGTTTTAACAAACATCGCGCCGGCAGACAAAGTAAAAGGTCACAATCTTCTCAATTTAAATTGAGATTTAAATTTATTTGACTAAGTGTATTGCAACTCTATACTTATTGGGTAGCTAGTCTCGTTGCTAATGTCTTTGTTTTAATAAACATCGCGCCGGCAGACAACGTAGAGAAACTTACGAATATATTTGCAGTGTTTAATTTTTGTCTTGGTTATTATTGTGCCGCATCCTTTCAAGGTGCTTTATTTTAGCACCGGGACACATTGGGCCACCACAATTCTGCCTTGATAAATTTTTTACATAGATATAGATATTTCTGAATCTTGTTTTGGCCAGGCCAGAGGAAAATTTAAGAAATATTGGTATCGATCTCTCAATAAAAAAATTATACTCTCTAAAAAAAAAAATACTTATTCAATAAACGTAAAAAATATCAATAAGTAAAAAAAATCAGAATTGTTTTTATAATAAAATACAGAGTGTTTAAAATCTTTTACAAGTAAGATCAGTCTTAGACTTTGTGTAATTAAATCGTATTATTTAAAGTCTTGAGTCGTTTTTTGTAAGCAATTATATAGACTATATTACGTATAGTGTAAATCGTGTACGTAGTGCGTTTAATACGGAAATCAACACTGGATTACTTAAAATATTATTGTATCACACAGGACGTAAGGTAAGTACAATTTAACCTATACTTTCGAACTTCCAATAATCTATTGCGTGATAAACCATTAATAATTAATGAGAGAAACAATTAATGAGAAAATTAATTTAAATAAAATTGAAAACAATTAAATCTACATTAAAATTACAAAAACTTATAATAAATAATTGATTATAATAATCTACTAAGCAAACTTTTTTTTCCTTTTTATATTCTCTCTAATTTTCTATCATCTTTTTTTTTTCTTTTCTTTCCTTTTATTTTTGGTTTATTACATAATATATAGAGTTGGATATCTATGGATTTCAATAGTGATATTTTGAAGTTATATAGAACTTATTTACTGAATAACTTTTTTATCTCCTTAATAACTAGAAAAAAAGTTTGGTAAAATACATAGCCTAAATAGAAAAAAAGTGATTTTTACAAAATATAAAGAACATTTTGGACCTTGAACCACGAATTTTTTGTACACAATCAAACAAAATATATTTGTTTTTAACTAATTTATTATACATTTAAATTTTCATTTGTATTAATAATATTTTTAATGTTTTGAATCCATCGTTTAAATTTGGCTGTTGCTTAACTGTGTATTCCTTAATACTGAAAGTACCGAATAACAAGTTTTTAAAGCCTGGAAATTTATATAATTAAATAATAATGCTAAAAGTTTTTAAAAATATAATGATTTTTATAACTTACACCTACAAACATAATTAAATCGACGGTTTTAGATCTAGTTATTTTCATTTTTGGTTGATGAGCATTATTCATATTCATAGTTAGTAAAACGAGCTTTTTATTTTCTAGGTCCATTTCTGTCCAATTCGAGCAATAAATTCCAAGTAGCAATGAGTCTTTCTAAAAAAAAAAAATAATAATTATTTATTTATTTATTAATGTTTATGTTTTAACATCCCTTTTTAAAAACTACTACTTATGCCAGAGGCTACGTAGGTTTCCTTATACAGAGTAAAACGCTAACTATGCCTGACAAAATATTATCGAAAATAAAAGTACTACAATGACAACCTTTGATTTTTCTATAGCAATTCAGATTACTTTTATATATTCTTGTTCGTCATTAAAAAAAAAATTCGGGACACAATGTGGATGTGGCATAATGGGCACAAGTATAAGTGATATCTGTTAGTGATTAAAATCACTATTATAAGAAACTCTTTGATACAAATATGTAGATAGTGTTTAATTTTAAGAAATTGGTGGATTATACCAAAAGCAAAATGAATTCCTATTTCCTTCATTATTCCTGATTTGTAGTTTTTTGATTTAAAAATATAATAAGTAGGGAATTCTAGTCCCCCCGCTTCACCCACCCACCACGTCAGAGTGTCGGAGAAGAGGTGTGGAGGGGGGAGAAAATCCAACGTAAACTAACATAATTCAATGGGAGGAGGAACAACGACGATAAAACACTTTTTTTTTCCACGACCAGCTTAGTTGTAGGCCACCCTGGAATTACCGTTAGGTATTACTTCAGGGTGGCCCACGCCGTCTCTAAAAACTCACACCACCACGTTGTAAATCAGCCCAAAATTAATCAAGAGCTGATTCACAACGTGGTGTGGCCTCCCCTGTTAGCTGTATCCCAGAGTTGGATCCGTTGCCCGGATTGCACCACGTGGAGGTGGGGGCAGGACTTTGCGAAAGGGGCAAAAATAACTCACAATACATAAAACATATAAACACGAATACCTAAGGCGCCGGCCTAAACTAGGGCCTTATATCCTCCTATACCGGCCGGCGCCCATTCTTTTCCAAGATGGATTCGGCGAACGCCTGGACTAGTCTCCACGCCTCCCGGCTTCCCAACATCAGGTCCATCAAGGACCCATTTCACCGGCAATCGTTTCTACATTGGAAGAGCTGCAGGAAGCCGTTTACATTGAACAGATACCATCGGCGTTATGAATAAGAACAGTGCTAACGAACTCCACCGGCAGGCCTGCAGGACGTACACTCGTGCTCGAATAAATATCAAGGGTCTCCATGATATATGGCACGCTGACCTCGTGGAAATGCACGCATATCCTGATCGACGACATCGGTATATTTTAACGTGCGTCGATGGATTTTCAAAATACGCGTGGGCCGTCCCGTTGAAAAATAAAACGGCCAACGAAGTTACCGCTGCCATTAACGGAATACTGAAACATGGTCGTCATCCTAAGCTTTTGCGAACGGACAATGGTAAAGAATTCTACGACAAAACATTTCAAAAACTGATGTCACAAAACGCAATCAATTACTACTCTACTTATTCTACGATGAAAGCGTGTCTAGTGAAACGTTTTAACCGCACGCTGAAAAACGCAATGTGGCGCGACTTTAGTGCACGTGACTCGTACAAATGGGTGAATCCGTTATCCGAAACCAAACCCAACCTGATATCTCGCTGCGTCTCTGCACTGAGGGGAGACAGCGACAACGCGACCGATTGTGTCGTTAATGCCGCTAGACTTGCCCTCAGCGAGATCCTATCTAGGCATAAGAGTGATCTCACTATATTCGCCACATGTATGGGTCTAAGAGACGCCGTCGAGGCGTATGATTATACCAACTGCCTAGCCCAGAATGGTGGTAGTGGGTCGGGAAACTCGCCCGTGGAGGGACGTAGTCCGCTCGAATTGATTAATGCGGAACCAATAGGTGAGGACGAAACTATGCGGGGAAAGCGAAAAGAAGCGTCCCCGACATCAGATGGCATCGTGACAGTCACCTTGGATGATACCCCCCCAGAGGTACCAATCCCGCTCGTAGATAAATCCGGAAGGGTTCCAAACGCGAAGCGGAGGAAGTGCGGGGAGCGGGCGGCTGCCGACCTCTTCAACGAGGACAGTACGCCGCGGTCCAAGCTGGACCGGGCGAGCTCGAGATCGGTCCTCACGGTTGAATGTATTTGAACGTGTGTGTGTTTTTTNGTTCGATGTGTTCGGAATGTATCTGAACGTGTGTGTGTTTTTCCGATAAATTTCAAAATTTAGTTCCCCCTCTGTTCTTTTAACTAATAAATCCAAAAAAGGCAATTTTCCCTCTACTTCTTGTTCATATGTGAATTTAATCGATGGGTAAAAAGAATTTAAATGTTTTATCAAAACCCCCTTATTAAAATCTTTATTTATAACTGCAAAAATATCATCTACATACCTAACCCAAATTTTTGGAAGATCACCATAAGTGCATTTTAAATTTGTTTCAAACCTACTCATAAAAAGTTCTGCTAAAAATGGTGATAGCGGATTTCCCATTGCTGTGCCCTCAGTTTGCTCATAAAATTTATTTTGAAACTGAAAAACATTTTGACTCATATATAACTTTGTTAAATTAATAAGCTCATTTATTTTATGCTGTTCAATGTTTTGGTCTTTTAGCCAGTCTTTAAGAAAATCAATTGTTATATTTATTGGACTATTCGGAAATAAGGANTATATTTATTGGAATATTCGGAAATAAGGCAACTACGTCAAAAGAAATTAACCTGTCATTATTTTGAATGGTATAACCAGATAATTGTTTAACTAAGTCAATATTATTTTTAACTGAAAAGCTATCGAATTTTTTGATAGATGAAAATATCCTTACTAGGTGTTTAGCCAAATTGTAAGTCGGAGCATTAATATTCGACACAATAGGTCTCATAGTACTTCCTGACTTATGTATTTTTGAAAAAGCATATAGTTTAGGTATTTGAGGGTTTGAAATTAGGGTTAGGTATGTAGATAATATTTTTGTNAAATTTGGGTTAGGTATGTCGATGATATTTTTGCAGTTATAAATAAAGATTTTAATATGGGGGTTTTCATACAACATTTAAATTCTTTTTACCCATCGATTAAATTTACATATGAACAAGAAGTAGAGGGAAAATTGCCTTTTTTGGATTTATTAGTTAAAAGAACAGAGGGGGAACTAAATTTTTAAATTTATCGGAAAAACACACACACGTTCAGATACATTCCGAACACATCGAATCACACCTGGCAACACAAATTGTCAGCTTTTAATAGTATAGTTTACAGATTAATTCATATTATAAAACCTATAATTTTTATACACGTTTGCCATAAAATTAACAACTTGTATAATTTTATAATTAAATAATTATATAATTAAATTTATAATTTTTTATAATTTCTCCGTAAAATGTACAATACTAAAATATTGAATTTTATATTATATTTAATTGAAAAAATAAATAATTATTCATATATTATACTTCTAAATCAAAAAACTACAAATCAGGAATAATGAAGGAAATAGGAATTCATTTTGCTTTTGGTATAATCCACCAATTTCTTAAAATTAAACACTATCTACATATTTGTATCAAAGAGTTTCTTATAATAGTGATTTTAATCACTAACAGATATCACTTATACTTGTGCCCATTATGCCACATCCACATTGTGTCCCGAATTTTTTTTTAATGACGAACAAGAATATATAAAAGTAATCTGAATTGCTATAGAAAAATCAAAGGTTGTCATTGTAGTACTTTTATTTTCGATAATATTTTGTCAGGCATAGTTAGCGTTTTACTCTGTATAAGGAAACCTACGTAGCCTCTGGCATAAGTAGTAGTTTTTAAAAAGGGATGTTAAAACATAAACTGTTGTGATTCAGGTGGTGTTTTATTAAATAAATAAATACTCCGTATTTAACTTTTACGTTGTAATATATTTTAACTTATTATACATAAGAATTTGAATAACAATATTAATTCCAAAAGGAAGTAGACAATAGTCCAACTACGATAATATGAATAGTAAGTGAGACTTGTTAATAGTCGGCGGCCTGGACCGGTTCTCGTCACCCGCGGTCACTCGGCGTCGCGCGACCTGTTGGACGAGGAGAGGTAGCTGTGTCGCAGTCGCCATCCAGCGGTAAAGCCGGAAGTGCAATGCGACCGCGTCAAAACATTAATAAATAAATAAATAATTATTTTTTTTGTAATAAACAGCAATCCAATTAACTATTGGTTAGCACTATGGCCATGTTCACCAATTAGTGAGCAAACCATTTTACTACTGGTAAAGAGGTGTATTCATGGTAACCAATCAGAGCGATCCGTTGACTGTCATGATGATGGGGTATTAAAGGTATATAGTATAGTATATTACATATATTATGTATTGACCTATACATAATATGTATAATATAAGGGCAGTATAGTATATTTACCTTATGATGTTATACAGGGTGATTTTTTTATCATAACTCACTCAATTACTTGCAGAATAACAATAATTTAAACATTTTTTTTTTATTATCTTTAGTTACACATTATTCTTGAATTTTTAACTATATATTACTTTTTAAGTTCATCCCTTATGCCTTGGAGGAGGGTCAACTTTGTTTTTTTAAATGGTAACACATATTTTAAATTTAATAAAATGTTTGAGTTTTAAATTTAATAGTAAATGGCATTTGAATTTTTAATATAACTTAATTCGTTTATTAGATATAAACATTTAAAGTTTCAAATTTTTGAGTTAATATACAGAGTGTTCAGTAAGTCAGGAAACGGGTTTCTATTGTTCTCATTGTTACAAACAATTTGAAGCTTTAAATATCTATATATGTATTTATATCTAATAAACAAATTAAGTTTTATTAAAAATTCAAATGCCATTTATTATTGAATTAAAAACTCAAACATTTTATTAAATTAAAAATATGTGTTACCATTTAAAAAAACAAAGTTGACCCCCCTCCAAGACATAAGGGATGAACTTAAAAAANTATTGGTTAGCACTATGGTCATGTTCACCAATCAGTGAGCAAACCATTTTACTACTGGTAAAAAGGTGTATTCATAGTAACCAATCAGAGCGATCCGTTGACTGTCATGATGATGGGGTATTAAGGGTATATAGTATAGTATATTACATATACTATATATTGACCTATATAATATAAGGGCAGTATAGTATATTTACCTTATTATGTTATATACCACTATATATAGATTATAATAATATTATAAAAACTAGAGTATATAATCCATTATTATATAGGTAATTAAATAAATTAATAGATAATAGAGGAGAATTCAATAGTATTAAAACTTTATCATCGTATTGATACGAACACAATGTTAAAATAACATACATAGCGTAAGTGTTAACATCTGTTTGCAGTATATCATTTACATACAAAGGTTTGTACGCGGTTACATCAGTGTTAATATCAGTGACGGTGGACAATTAAAAACATATTTGTGTTTATTTAACAATGTGTTTTGCTATAAGAAAACTTGAACAGTCGTTTTTATTATATATTGATTACGAAAAATACTGATTTATTATTCACTATACGAATAACGGTCAAGCGTATTAACTCGTATATTAACAATTAATGTAATTGATGGCGACATCGCTGCCGCCGCCGCGTTGAGCCATTTGCCGTATTAATCTCAAGTGCTATAGTGTAATCATCAATACAGCCATCTGGCACACAATGTTTCGAACTAATTTTTTTTGACAAATTAGGTAAAATTACCGATTTTCCGTACAAACCTTATCTAAATATATGCATATCGCATATCAATATAGCGGATTCGACTTTAAAAATTCGTACTTATCACCGTAACCGTATAGCTTACCTATAACATGGCTTTTTTTTTTCGTCAAAAAACCGATACTACGTATATATGACTAAGCATAATTTAGACGCGTGACAAGTTGTGTTAGTTTACGTCGTGTTTCATCCCCCCTCCCACTATCGTAAGACTTGATGGGGGAGGAGAGGTTCCTCACCTGCCTTAAGTTAGTTTACGTGGGATTTACTTCCCCCACCCTAAGACTAGTTAGAGAAGGAGAGGTTCTTCTTTGGTTAGTTTACATTGGGTTACATCATCGTTCCCCTTCCCATTGCATTATGTTAGTTTACGTTGGATTTCCTCCCCCCCTTCATTCCAATCACTACATGGAGTGGAGGGTGGATGAAGCGGGGGTAACCATAACTTTTTCACCCTACTATCAATACATACAAATAAAATAATGTGACCTTTTATGATAAAATAAAATTATTTACAGATTTATACTATAATATTATTATTCGATTCTTATAATAAACTACTTACCCTGTCATTTATAATCCCAAAAAAGATACAAAGTATGAATAAATGACAAACAAAAAATAAAAATGCTGCAATAAGTTTAACAGTCTGAATCGAATTAACCATTCCTCCATTAATAAAATGCTAATGAAATACAAAAAAATATTATTTAATAATTAATAATGTAATATTATTATGTCATTATATAATAAATAAATTCTGTTCTACAACAAAATAGTTCATTTTTTAACAAACAAATTTTTAAATAAAATTATACAATTTTATTGTAACTATATTATGTATATAATTGGAACTTTTTCAATTAGGTTAAGTCATAATTTTATAAATGCAACGACTTTGTTTGATACTTAAAATATGGGTTAATATATTTTCCTTCTCAACATGTTAGAGGAGACTGAGGTAATTGAGTCACGATTAAGTAGTTAAAAAATTGCAATTTTTGAGCTAAAATTTTTTATTTTATATTTTGTATTTTCAACTACTGTATATATATATATTTTTTTTTTTTTTTGAAAAAAAACTGTATTAAATACAGAAGTCATTATTTTTATTTTCTGTTGCATAAGCCAAATTTTATTGATCAAAATCTGACAGGTAATTTAGGTATAAAAATGTACTACGCACTAAATGAGTGATAACAACAATAGATTCAAACCGGGTTTTGTAAGACTAAAGGATCTAAAAAAAATGCCGGTTGCACTGCCATCGATAATAAATTAACTTAAAATATCGATGTCAACAAGGAACATCACAATTCACCATCTCTCTACGATTCCATTTGGATGTCAAGTTTAGGTTAGTCGTAAGACATGCACTATATTAATGTAATATTAAGAAATAGGACAGAGTGGGTAAGAGGTAGGATTAAGATGATATGAATGAATCTAACACAATCCAAATAATTTATAACCCCTTTCCTATCATCTTCACCGCATCTTTACCATCCCTCTCTTCCCCTTTCTCTTTTCAATTTATTACAATGTGGCGTCCAACACATGGTTGGTATTATGAAACGTAATAAATAACAACATTTTTTCTGAAAGTCAAAATCTTTAAAAAATTATAAAGCGTAAACGGTTGTTCGGATAAAAAAAATTATAAAAACAAAGTTGTTGGTAATTATTTTTCTATCATATTATCAAATCAAAAATAGTGGTTCCCATTTAAAAAAATTATAAATAAACATTTTTAACCCTGAAGGGATAAAAAAAAATTTATTTAACTTCATATTATTGTAGAGTTTTATAAATTTAATAATTTTTCTTTTTAAAAATTTTTAAATAATCAATAGTTTCTGAGAAAATAAGTGTCATACCAGATTTCGATCACTCTGTATATAATGTTAAATCAAAAATTTGTGCTGATTTCAAATCAACAATAACATTTTTCCCTTCACCTCTATTTTTGAGATTATTACCAATTAGTAAAAACGAATATTTTAATTTAACAATTTATTTTGATTTTTAATATGTTAAATTGATTTAAAATGTCACGCTGAAACTTATAATTTTGGTCCTTTAAAGTTGATTTTTATGAAAGTTTATAACATAAAAATGTTGATATTTAAATTTTTTTTTAGTTCAACATGCAAGTAGAGAATTACTCTGTACATAACAGCTTCATAAATTTTCCCATACAAATTAAAATACTAAGTTATTCAATATCAATTTCACACTAAATTTAATTACTATAATAAGTATTTATTAATGTATTATGCATATAAATCATAAAACTTGCAATCAAGATATACATAAGGAAATAAGAGTTCATGATATTTTTGGAATAATCCACCAATTTCTTAAAATTAAACACTATTTACAGATCTGCTACGAAGAATTCATTATCATTTTGATTTTAAACTGTTAGAAATCATCTATACTTATCCGAACAATGACATGTTCACACTGTGTCACGACTCGACTGTATCGAGATTTTTATTTTTGTAATACATTTCAAGAGCTTTAATTTGATATAGGTTAAAATAGGACTGAAATTATTAGACATTTTCAAAAATTGTGTTTAAAACAATTATTTTACATAAGTCGGTAGTCTCTTTCAAAGCTTTCCTGTACATAGGTTTTAATAATAATAATAAATTTATTGTTATAAATCAAGTAATCAATAAATTTTTTATACTCCAAGGGTTAAGAGTACAGCATATAAAATAATTTTGTAATACATGACTTGAGTACTTTCAAAACCTTTTTATATATAGGTTTTCAATTGGATTTTGCTAAAAATCGTACCAAAATAAATCGTAATGTCTTTAGTTTATTCTATTAAAATTTCATTATGATCAATGCTTTAAAAAAAATTTATAGCAGTTTTAAATGCAAAAAAATTTTTTTAACTTGACATGAAAAAAAATAAGACCAACTTAAACAAAATTGATATTAAATGTTTAAAATTAATTTGTGAGGATTTCCTAGTTACCTGTATTGTATTTATCCAAAAATATTTTTAAAAAGGTACAATTGTTTAATAAGCATTATTTCTTACCAACATTCCGGTATATGAATAAAGTACCAAATTAATAAACAATACTACAATTTGGACCAAAATTACTTGTTGAAATAAATTATAAAATTGCTCCATTTTTCTAAAAAAAAAATCCAAAAATATTAATACCACTTACATATTCATTATTGCTATTTTAAATTTAACATATTTCATTCGTGTGAATTAATCATTAATAATAATTTATTATTGCTCATTTATACAGAAATACAAATTCAGTTAAAAATTTTAAGTTGCGATAATTTAAAACAAAATAAAATATCACAAATATTATCAGATCAAGAATTCCGCTTAAATCGTTTATAAATTCGGGACAGTTCCCGATATTTAAGTACGAAGAGTTTGTAATATCAACTGACTAAATTCTCAAATAATTTTGTGGAAGATAGTAATTTGAACAACCATTAAATACAAAAATATAAGCATAAAATTGACGCTAATTTTTTAACTACAAAAAAATGCGTGTAAACCCCTACTATTAAAAATCTGATTTTCGCTAAATTTCAATGACACATAAATTTTCTAACTTATTTCTAACTATAATATATCGTTTGTCCCTGTGGATAAGGGATAAGAATACTTTCACGGTCCCTCTGCCAGTCGTAAGAGGTGACTAATGAGGTTGCCTCAGGTCAACAGTCGACGCAAAATTTTTGTCAAAAAGTACGAGGGTTCTGAACAAAACTTAGGCGGATTGACCCATCTCGGATATACGCGGGGACAACAGGTGGGATAAAATAAAATAGTTAAAAACGGAGAAGGCCTAAGGAATAAAGTGTTTGATACCAGCGGGACAACTTGTGCGATAGCTGTTTCACCAGTCATGTGTTTAGGTCTACACAACGCTTGTAGTATTGTAATATTCTCCTCTGGAATATTACAAAATCAATAAATCTTTTATTTCTCAGACGACAGAAAAGAATACGCTAACACTATTACATATTTAATTGTGACTTTTGGCATTTATAAAGTAGCCGTGAGTCTTTCATAGCGTCTGCGAGGCATCACAAAAGTAATAAAAAAGGAAAATTAATCATAATAACTCTTTTGCGTTGATTGAAATACAGACTGATGACTGAATGTGTCTATAAAAAAAACCCAGCACAGGGGGGTCGCGGCACAGTGGTGACGTGGCATAGTTGGATCAAGTATAATGATATCTGACAGTGATTAAAATCACTATCAAAAAAAAACGCTTCGATGCAAATCTTTAGATAGTGTTTAATTTTAAAAAATTGGTGGATTATTCCAAAAGCTTCATAAACTGCTAGTTCCTTATTAATATCCTGATTAAGATAAAGTATGTCGAATGAAAAAGTAATTATTAAAAAATAGTATTTCCCATAAAAAAATTATATTGATCAATACACTTTTCAATAAGTTATAGCATTATAATGTTAAAAATGTAAAAAATAAAATTGAGAATTTTCACACAATAATAGCATTTGGTAGCCATTTTCACCTTGAAGATAAAATAAATTCCAAAATTTTTTTTTACCATGATAAAGTATATTACATTAGCTTTAATTTAAGATATATATAAAAGTGTCAGACTTTCCGGAACACTTTCAAAA